TCGCTGCACATTTGAATCGGTCGTTATAGATTTTCGAGCGAAAGTTAAGTTTAAGTTTCATGTCAGTTTGTCGGTGATTTCCATGAACTTCAGGACAATTTCGAGAACCCTAAAATAGTTCTGAGAATTTCCAAGTAGTCCACAGATCTTCATAGAACTTTTAAAAAACTTCATTGGAAATTTGGGAGCTTCAATTTATTTCAGAGCAGTACCAAAAACTTTAGGACCACTTTAGGAATGCTCCGAGATTATTAAGACAAATCAAAGAACCAACGAATTTCATGGAAATTGCAGGAACTTCAAGTTCTGGACAATTCAGGGAATTTATGAAGTTCCGAGATTTTAATTACAATTCTGGAAAGAAACATGAACATCTGGAAATTGTGAACAGATTTTAAGGGAATTCCATGATTGTCATGGTAGTTTCAAGAACCAACTAGACTAGAAGGTCCCGAAATAACCCCCTCATTTTATCTGTCAAACTTTCATAGCGAATCAAAACAAACATTGTGTAGTAGTAGAATTTCGACTAGAATGGGGTACGTTAATCTTTTGCTTGGGGCCAATAGGCTAGTCAAGTAGTGAGCCAATTTAAAATCGTTAGTTTCGTATTGATTGTTGGATTTATTATATTTAGGGAAGTTCCGAGTATTTCAAGGACGATCAGAGATCTTCAAAGCAGTTCCAATTTAAGGAACATTGTAACAAGTTTCATGGAGTTCCAAGGAATTATGAGATACTACAATTGGCATAGCTAATGGGAGTGCCAGGGGGCCCAGTCCCCCTCTAGAATTATCTTGGCCCCCTTCAGAATTATCTAGGTCCCCTCCAGAATTATCGAGGTCCCCTCCAGCTACGCCAATGGATACTACGAGAGTTTAGGAAACTTCATGGATATCCAGAGAAGTCCAGGAAAAATTAGAATGTTTAGACAAAGTCCCGTTAGCTTTTAAGAAGTTTTCGTAAGTAAAATTACGGGAACTTCAAGTAATACCAAAGAACTTCAAGGCACTACTATAGTCAAATTACCGTGGCTTTTAAAATATATTGATAAATTCAGGGCATCCAAGGAAGTTCAGAGATGTTTCTGGTAGTATCGCTAACATAAGAAAAGCCACTATTGGGGAAAATTTTAAATTATGATGAATTTGTTTCTATAATTTGAAAGTCTTAGAACGGCATTTATTATTTCGTGTTGACTTCAGGTAAATAGCGGGAACTTAAATAAAAATTTCAGGGAATTCCACAAAAAAGAACTCAAAGGAAGTTTTTAAAGTTCAGGAAAACTGCAGGAACTTCATAGAATTCCAGATAACGTCAGGAAAGATCAGAAAACTTCAGAGAAATTCTGAGAACATCAGGAAAATGCAAAAACATATTAAAAAATGTTTCGTAGGGCTGTTTCGAGAATTGAGGGAATGTCACGAAAGATCATTGCAAATTTATTGATTTCAGCAAAATAACGAGATTTTAAGAAACTCCGATATTTGCAAGTAGTCCGCAGAACTTCAGTGATGTTTAAAAAACTAAAAAAAAAATGTGAACTTGATAGAAGTACAGAGAACTCAGAAGAACGAGAATTTCAAGAACTGATTAGAGAACCTTAGAACAGTGCCATTAATTTCAGGGAAACTACGAAAATGTTAAAGAAGTTTCGAGAACATTATGGAAATTTTTAAGACTTCAGGACGTTCCTAGAATTCCACAAAAATGGCGGGAGCTTTAGGCAATTCCAGAGATGTTCAGGGAAATTTAAAGATTTCAAAGGAAGTACCGTGACCATCAGAGGTTCTTTTTTAAACATCGGATGAACTCCAAGGTACCATCAGGAAAATTGGGGGGCCATTATATTTGATTTAATATCGTTTGAAAAACATACAGAAGTTAAATTAAGAAAAGATTAATCAGTAGCAAATCTTTGATGATGTAAGATTTTTCCAGTTTAAAATTTTGTTGGTTTTGATTAGATATTGATAAGTACTGAATAAAAACCAAGTCCAGAAAATACATATTTTTCTTAAGTTATTTCCGAAAAAAATAACGATTGACTTTCACTCAGATTTCAATAGCTCATATCTGTTTCCTTCTTAAAATAACAGTAAAAAGTTTTCCAATTTTGACAGTTCAAATTGGTCCAAAAATCATTACTTCTTCGCCAGGCCTAGGTTACAACTCGATTATTAGTGATGTGATGTGATATGAAGATCTCGGTTGGCCTTAGAGTGACCTTTTTACTTACTGAGCAGAACATTGTAGCATTGTAGGTTATTACTAACCATATCAAATCTATGATGCACGAAGCGTTCATTTCGGGTAATGAGTGAACTTGAAGAAGAAGAAGAAAATGATTATACACGGTAAGAAAAAAGTACCCAACGGCCACTTCACTTTTACCTACTTTTGACTAGTCTCCTTTTCTCCTTCTAATGTTGTCAAAAATGGAGGAGCAATACCACACAACAGGGATAGTAAAGTGTGCGAACCCAACTTAGAGTATAATCATATTTACCTACTTTTGGGTACAACTAACTTGCTTTTGGGTAGAACACTAGTGGAAAATTTCATACGAATTGCAAACAAGTAAATGAAAACTACTTTGACCCGCTTTAACTACTTTTGGGTTCCTGCACTATAGTACCAAGATGAGTGAAAAGAACTTACTTTTGGGCACTTTTTTCTTACCGTGTACAGTATGAGTGGTACTATAGAGCCCCTTCTCGGAACGAATGTATTGTTAATGGACCTGGTCTACGATTCAAGGTTGGCTTCTGTGATGATTGGTATAACATAAAAGGTAAAATAGGTAACATCATCTTCATCGAAATGTAAGTTTTATTGACAACAATCATAGCTAGATGAAATGCAAATTTATACTATAGGTAATTAGATCAACAATATTTAAACATGCCCATTCAATCTCGACGATTTCTGATTCTGCATGTCAACACCTTTGATTCTTTGACTTCACCTATCCATCTACGCTTCTATGTTAAGAATCAACTTAGCCCTCATTTATTTTCGGCAGATTTCAATCGACTCACATATTTTTGTTGACGATATACTTCTGATGATTTGGTTATTATATTACATATTACTATATATCAAAAATTCGGGATGAGGAGGGACCATCACTGCACCCAATTGAAGCGATTTGGATGGAGAGAGTGAAGATGTCAACATCCTGTTGCTAATATTTCGTGGATAAAGGGCGGGCTCTTCTCCCCATCTTCTTGTTGGATGGCTCATTTCAAGTTCGTTTTTGGCCCTTCATACAGCGATTTGCTGATGACAATCAGAGGTTATTAAGCTTGATCAAGTTCAACAGTGAGAAGAGCCCACAGCTATCAGACTAGTTTGCGTGCTACAATGAGTGGTAGACTACTATCATAATCATTATAATCTGAGCAGAACAATTTAGATTTAGGCCCCTTCACATTCTAAATTTGATTCTTAACACAAACACATCACTTTAATTCAGTGTACCGTTTGCCATAACGAACACTGCTGCAATTCCAACCCTCTTATCTAAATCCAAATCACAATTTATTTCTCCAAAGTCCAAGACCAACCAGCCTTTCACTGAATGTTTTGAAAATAAAAATAACTAATCAACTAACTTCTTCAAGATCGCTGAACTTCTACACAGTTATCTGCATTTCTCCAAAAACCGTCGATTGATTCTTTACAAAAGCAGATACGTCGATTTGAATAGTTACGCTTGATTTCTTTAAACATCTTTCTGAGCATTTCTGAAGTTACTTATACTTTCCCAAAAATACTTGAAGTTATCGAGATTTACCTAAATGTTCTCAAGCTTCTCTAAACTCTTCCAAAGTTTCGAGAGCTTCTCAAAAGTTTCCAGAATTTCTTCGTTCCACAGTTTAGAGCGAAGTGTTTCTCAGTAACTACTGGAAAGAACTGGATGCAACAAACATCTAACTTGACCCAAAACCCATCTTGCAACAGTTCAAGTTACATACGATTTCAAAAATAAGTGCAATGGTGGCTATATCAAGTGCACACATCAAGGACCACACTGAACACATCCGGACTGTATATAGCCCAGGGGAAGTGATCAGTTACTGACTTGGACTAAAACCCATCAAGAGACACCTCAAATCACAGGAGAATTTAAAAACTAGTACAATGGTGGTGACCCAGGTACCAAGGATCACATTAGACATATCCGAACATTTGGTAGTTTCCCGGGCCAAAATCAATCATACGACACATGAAATCAATACCTAAGAAGGGTCAGATCTCAGATAAGCATTATTTTTTTTATTTTGTGTTTTTGAAAATGGTGTTCTTGAAAATTTCGTTATTCTAAAATCATAATTTGAAAGATTTTAAAACGTTTTCAAAAAATTTAAAAAGCATTGCAAATTGTTCAGAGAAGCGATTTCAATCACTCTACCGTAGATCTGGTTCTACGTATTCAAGAGACAACTATTTTGAGTGATTACACATCTCATGGAATGCCGGTTGCTCATCTTGGAACTAACCTATCCAACTTACTTTCTACCAAACCAAACCGTACGTGGCCTCCAACGATGTTAATACTAAACTGATAACCTCTCAACATCCTGTGAAACCCTTCGTTCAAAGGTAATCCAACAAATCACCCTTTACAATTACACTTTAACCGAAAGCATCACATTTTATATGATGCAACCTCGAGTCAACGCTCGATTATACAGATCAACGAAGCTATTATCTCATCACATCATCCCTATCCTTGGGTACACGACGAATTTTTAAATCGCTCATAACCTCTATCATGACAAATCCTACTAATTCACATCAAACAGAAAAAAAAACAATTCAAATCCATATCATTCAAAGCCCGCTCCTGTACACGCGAGGCCTGGATTGAAGTGCACTCAATATTAGTTTGATCTCTCTGTAAACACGACAGCTATCAACAAATAGTAACGTTATCACTAATCACATCATAATCGCACAAACAGTGTATAAAAGAACAAGTACCCTTCGAGCATTATTACTAGTCTCATTTCGTGCACCGATAGCATCGCAAGTAAAGTGCAGTTTTACAATCATCGTCAACAACGGAAAATGGTTCCAAGGATAGTGGTGCCTTTGTTAGTCGTGCTTGCTGTGGTGGCCGCCAAGCGATCGTACGAAGGGTAAGAGTGAAAATTTTACAATGTGTGTTCATTGGTGTTAAAATTTAACCATTGATCTTCTGCAGCTACAAGGTGTACGCAGTTGTACAGGAAACCCAGCAAGATGCTGATGTGCTTCGTCAGCTTCAGGAATCGAGTTTCGATCTTGACTTCTGGCATCTCAGCAGACAGTTGGGCGATGAAGCACGGGTTCTCGTAGCCCCAAAGGACCAACGATCTTTCCTCATCCAACTTGTCAAGCATGGCTTGCATTACCGAGAGCTAATCACTGATGTTGAAAGGTACCTACACAATGGCTTAGGTTTTACTAGTGCATCAATAATGAGTTCCTATTATATTTCAGCACGCTTGATAGTTACAACGAAGTGCTTCCACGTAGCCATCATCGTGATGCCAACATCTTGAACAACTATCTGCGTCACGATGACATCAATAAGTACTTGGAAGATTTGGCTAGGAAGTACTCGTCTCAAGTTAGCGTAGAGGAGGTGAGCAAATCACACGAAGGCCGGTCTCTCAAGACAATCACGATCAACAAGAAACCCAACAATGCCGTTATCTTCTTGGATGCTGGAATTCACGCCCGTGAGTGGATTGCTCCTGCCACAGCTTTGTACGCTATCGATCAACTGGTTGAGCATGCGAATGAAAATCAGGACGTCCTGTCAAATCTGACTTGGATCATTCTTCCGGTTGTGAACCCCGACGGATATGAATTCTCCCACGAATCGGATCGTTTTTGGCGCAAGACTCGTAAACCTGCTGGCATTTGCAAGGGAACCGACGGAAACCGGAACTTTGATTTTCATTGGGGAGAAGTTGGTGCATCGAACTCTGACTGTTCGGATACCTATCGTGGTGATACTGCTTTCTCCGAACCGGAAACCCAGGCCATTCGTGATGCTCTAAACAAGCTGAAGGGAAGCTGTAAGTTCTATCTAACGCTTCATTCGTATGGAAACTACCTGCTGTATCCTTGGGGATGGACCAGCGATCTTCCGGAAACATGGGAAGATATTGACGAGGTGGCTCAAGCTGGCGCAGCGGCTATCAAGCAGGCTACTGGATCGAGATACACCGTGGGAAGTTCAACCAACGTCCTGTACGCTGCTTCCGGTGGAAGTGATGACTGGGCATACGCAGTAGCCGAAGTTCCAATTTCAATCACCATGGAACTGCCCGGTGGTGGCACCGGTGGATTCAATCCTCCTCCTTCGGCTATAGAGGCTAGCGTGAAGGAGAGCTGGGTCGGTATCAAAGCTATGGCATTGAAAGTTGCGCAAAAATTCTGAATAAATTGACGATAGGCAGTGGAAAACTGTACTTTACAAGGGATGTCATAACGCTTGTTGCATTACCTATAGAAATCCACTTTTAATTGAATTCTTCGCTACTTGAATTTTGCAATTCGTGTCTTCTGAACTGAGAATACCATTTTCAGACATCTTGGCTTGCGGTTTAACTGAACAGGGTAGCTTTTATCATTCTAATGTTGCTATAAACCATTGTAATTAAACCATTTAATGATAACTGTCACTCATGGCAAGTCTGCCTCATAGCACAAACCAGCAAGCCGAGGAATTTGCATTTTAAGTTTGCTTCGTAGCATTGCTTCTGCTATTTTTCCAAACTTATCCAGAACAAAGTTGTTGAGTCAGCGCCGGTGGTGTAAGCATGACTGCCTCTCACTCCAAAGGGCCTGGGTTCAATCGGGATTTTCTGAGGCCTGAAATCTCTGATCACGCCTTCTAAAGAGAGCCGGCAGCGCCGACTGTGATTGAACCCAGGTCTGCTGGGGTGAGAGGTAATCACGCTTACCACTACACCACCGGCACCGCTACTAACTAACTTACAAGGGGCAAGACAACTGTACTCAGAGTTAATATATTAGCAGTGAGTCATTTTGAGTTACTCATATTTACTCAAAAATAAACAAAGTAGCCATTTTTCATCAAACGATGTTCAAACAATCGGCGTCTGACAGAATGTTTTGATTTCAAGATTTAGTTTTCATTCATTCAAGTAAGATGGATCTTGTCCAGGCCAGCGGTTGCTTAGGCATCTTTTGCTTTCTATGGATCCATGGGTAAAGTGTAAAGTCTTTAAAGTTTTTGTTGGTGTGGTTTTGTTTGTGTTTGAATTTCCCAGCCATTTCTAGCTACTCGGGAATCTGAAAATAGCTGAAGACTCATCCCGGGAATTCCCGGGAATTGGGAAATATCTTTAGCAAGTGGACCAGTTATAATTTACGGTAGTTATTTATTAAAATTTGAACGTCCCCAGAATTCCCTTCGAAAAAAATTTCCGAAATTTTCTGGAAGTTTCTTCTAACTTCCCATTGAAAATTTCGACTAGCTTCTTCGGAAGGGATTTAGGAGGTTTCGGCCGACTTTGTATGGAAGTTTCTTCCAATATGTCCCGGAAATTTTTTTAAACTTGCCCTCGATGAATCTTCAACCCTCTCCCGCAAATTTCTTCCATCGTTCAACAGAAGCTTCATCAACTGTCCGTTCCAACAGTATCCTCAGATTACCATCAGAAGTCCTACTGGCTACCGCTGCAAGTGGAAATTCTTTCCCATTTCACCAACTTCATAGTTGATTCTATTCTTAAACTTATATGAAGTTTGTCAATAAGCGATTGTCGATAGGATGCAGGAACCACCACATCTAATTTGTTCATACTGGGACTGTCCAGAATCTCCTTTTGAATTAACTGGATTGTTTGGAGTCCCCCATGGACTGTCATGATTCCCTCTTAATATTGAGTGAAATCCTCCCTGGGATTGTCCGGAATCTCTCCTGGGATAGTCCATGTTCCCTCTTTGGATTGTCCGAAGGTCCCTTTGATATTGTTTTGAAGCTGCACTGGGATTGTCCATCAGAATCCGTACTATGTGGTTGCTAATGTTTGTAGTACTCGAACGTCGTCAACATGGCAGTAAAGGCAAACATCTCTGACTGTTCCGTAAGGTCACAATAAAAATCTTCCATCGATTTTGAGGGGCAGCTTGTAGTTCCATTCGTACACGTACAATACGAAAGTGCAATTGCCCTTCCATTGGCGAAAGTTGTTGAAATTCGTAAATTTGCATTGCTTGACAGTATTGGTTGCTATGCGTATTTGATGTTGAGCAACGCGAGTTACTCAAAATTAACTCAGATATTACTCATGATCAAAAGCTGTCTTGCCCCAAGCTAACTTATGTTTTCCTTGTTTCAAGATCATCCTCGGTGGACAAAGCCGAGTCTTTTCACTGTCAACAAGGCATAAAAAGTAACAAGGACTAAGATGAGTTCCCCTAGTTTGAACCAGTCATCCTGTAACGTACCACGAAAGGGTGATTTACCCACGTTACGCGGCATCCTGTCAGGCTTAGATCGGGGCTAGTTGTGGCTGTCCAATCACTCCAGCTATTTCCTATTCTTCCTCTAAACGTTGGGTTTCACCTATTAGTTTTTCGCTATCGACTATCAACTATTATTTTTGGTTTTTGGATCAGCTTTTCTAAGACTGCAACGATCTCCAGGCGACGAGAACGTGATCGTTGACACCAAAGGCAGTTCGTGATTGTGTTTTGAGGTTCGATCGAGTGATCGGTTACAGTATGAGGGTTCCATCAAATATACTACATTAACAATATAGGTCACCCTTCATTTCTCAGGCGACCTAATTTTCGGTCGACACGAGCGCTTTGACGGTGAAAAAGGCAACCACTACACTGTTAATATCATCCATATCAAATGACGTCTCTTCTGTCACCTAATTGTCAAACCATAATAACATAAACAATCAGTTCCATTTCCATTTTTCTGCTGACGGCTTGATTGAATATAGGATCGCAGTGAGAAAAAAAACTATTTTTCAAGTACTTTGAAGAAATATATAGTTGCCAGTATGGGTCGTACTTTGTGTGCGGTAACCGAATGTTCCAGCGCAAAAGTTAGAGCATCTTCGTGTTCATTCTACCGAATTCATTGCACAAACAGGTTCGAAAATGCATGCCGTAAAACAACGTTTTCCTTATGATTTCCATTCTACATTTCAGGGACGTTGAGGCCTGGGTGAGCTTTTGCCGGAACCCCTCAGTCAGCAAGAGTAGCCTTATTTGCTCCAAACACTTTAGAGACTCGGATTTCTACAACCCAAACAATAAATCTCAAGGGTTGGTATGAAGTGTATTATTGTTGACTCAAATCTGCTAATATTATTGATAATTTCAGTTTATTTCTACATGCTCGTCCATCTCTGTATCCGGGTGAGGCAGAAAGTGGACAAATTGGAAGTTACGAAACAAAAACGTCTTCAAACACTGACAGTACCTGCGAAGAACCGATCCTAAATCCTAATTACTTCAATGAACATGAAATTGAGATAGCTGCTGAGGTTGAAGTAGGTGGGCTACACGAAGACACTGTTACAGTTGTAAACGATAACACACGCAGCAATTCTATCAAGGCACCGAAAATAGATCATGATCACGACTACTGTGGGGAAGTCAACCGCATAGTCTCATGCATGGAACGATTAGTTTTGGTGGAGCAACAAAATGTAGAACTAAAAAAGAACCTACGATCCAAACAGAAGCAAGCTTCCAAATTAAAAGCAAGAGTTCGATCTCTTAACGCAGAAGTTAGTAAGCTGAAGGCATCCTTAGCTTCGCAATCAGCGAAAATAAGTGATCGCGTGCTCGTAGAGCTGCAACGCAACAAAGAACGGAAACTACGTGGGCAAAGATATTCAAACCGAATGTGTGTGTGTGCCAAACATGCAGTTGAAATCTAAAAATATGATTGAACAATTTATCAATCAATTGATAAGTAAGCGTAGCAGATACTTTCATACCGATAATCAGCTTTGTCGATCATTCTCCTGCTCCCCTGCAACGATTCTTAATTGCAGTAACCGAACCAGTAGACATTGTTTCACAGAATAACAATAAGCTGCCGGGAATTCCTTCGACGTTTCATCACCATATTGTTGCACAAAGTACTTGTACAAGTCCAAGTTGGTTTTCGTCGAAGTTGAGCAGGGAACATATTCAATCAAGCTTTAAATAAGAAAATAAGGCAATGATCGCGATAATGAAATTTTCACTAAATTCACTTACCCTTGAAGCAATGGATTGATACCATGATAGAATAAAACAGCTCGAGGCCAAATCGTTGGCAATGTTCTTGGAAAATTTCGGCGAATGATTGTTTTGAGAAGAGAAATGAACGAACAGAATCTGTTGTTTTGACAGTTACCTCGCAGTTGGCACTCAATGTCATAGAGATCAGGTCCGGCTGTCTCTTTCATTCTCTCGCTCTGGAATGGAACTGCGAGTTTGACGTCAAACTCACTGTTCCATAAGTGCAGCGGGAGAATGAGAGAGACGACAAATTCACATTGCCGGATCTATTCTACCTGACATGGGTTGGCACTGTCAGCTGCTTGACAATATGAGATACACGATAAACCGATTTGAATCAAATTTGACAAAATGTTTGATTGGGGGCCTTTTTCATCCATAGATGGAGTTAGTTGTTACGTCTCCCGAGAAATGTATGGGGATGCCAGAAGTGACCTATATTGTTAATGTACACGGTTAGAAAAAAGTACCCAAAAGTAAGTTCTTTTCACTCATCTCGGCACTATAGTGCAGGAACCCAAAAATAGGTAAAGCGGGTCAAAGTAGTTTTCATTTACTTGTGTGCAATTCGTATGGAATTTTCCACTAGCTTTCAACGCAAAAGTAAGTTAGTTGTACCCAACAGTAGGTAAATATTATTATACTCAACGTTGGGTTCCCACACGTTACTACCCCTGTTGGGTGGTTTTGCTCCTCCGTTTTTGACAACATTAGAAGGAGAAAAGGAGACAAACTAGTCAAAAGTAGGTAAAAGTGAACTGGCCGTTGGGTACTTTTTTCTTACCGTGTAGTATATTTGGTTCCATGTTAGTGAATCGAGAGAGTGGGTTACCTGAGTGTTGATGATGATATTTAGCGTACCATAGTTTGCCACAGTACATAGTATGCACGAATTCCGGCAATAATGCGGCTCCTAATCTATCTGCTGTAGTTGGTGACATCATCACCACCCCAAACTCATCTCCATCGAATATCACACTTCTGCTTATGCGAGCTCTATCACGGCCAATAGCATCTTAGAATGCATCGTTGTTCCGACAACGTCAAGTTCGTCAGTAAACTGGCTGGTTTTACTGAAGATCGTAGCCCACATGTTATGGACAAGATTGCTAGAATCCACAAATCTTGATAGAGCTGGAATTAGGGCGTAACAGCTTTTGTAAACAATGACTTCTCTTGATGCTTTCTCGAAAGTCATGACTCTCCCTGGCAAATCGACATCACTATCGAGTAGGGGAAGACTTCCCCTACTCGATGGATATGTTGGTTTGTGTAGGCGTACCTTGAGTTAATTGAAATCAACGAGAGAAGTCAT